AATGAGTGCTTACCCTTTCCATTGTCAACCTTTATATATCATTCACTAGGAAAGTAGCTACACATCTTTCAAGATGCAAATCTGCAACCCCATTTATTAGCAATACAGTCCCATACCTGTATGCCAATGGTGCTCTCCAATTCTCACACAACCATCAAACAAAATCAACAAATCACACCTGACTCCATGACACTGATCCCATACTCAGTCCACTTGCCAGCTTAGAGACAAAGTCAACCAACACAAAACGATCCTTGGTACCACATCCATGAAACACTCACGCCTTGGGCTATAAGCAACCAACATACCTCACACATTACCAAACTCCTAATTCAAGACACATCCAAGAATAATCTATCGGATCTTTGCAGGTCGAATCCTACTCCCCGATTACATCAGCACTGCTTGTCCAAGACTGACCACCACACATGTATCCTCCAGGTCCTCTTCAGACCCCACAGGCTAGGATCAAAACCTCTCAAATCCAAATGGGATACAGACCTCCCACCGGTCAATATTCAACCAATCATCATAACATTGCAGTCCCATACCTGCAAGCTAGATGAATGTCAATAGCTATGAAACTGACAAACCACCTCATCCTTCCATTCTCAATCCAGTGCGATGAAATTGCACCAGAACCAAGTCCAACATTCTCACCTCCCAAATCCAATGTCCCAATTGTGGCATTTATAATGTGTGACACAATTGTTAACGAGCATTCAACAAACCTTTCCAGCACATTCAAAAGAAGTGCCCATTTGCCAACCTCAAGCTTCCAATAGATCCACAAAGGAATCCGAAATCTCCAAGAACAACAGGAATGTTGTTCCAACAGACTCAAACACATAAACCAAATTGAACCAACATGAAGCAATCCAAGAGAAACACAATCAGAACCATCGAATCATCAAACCATCAGAATGTCAAGGTAGAAAAACCTTGAAAATACTGCTCACCAAAGATCACCCATCACACTCAACCACCAATCACCAAACCAATCACCATCAAACACTGATCACTTCCACTTGCCACATCACACATATGCACACACTGCCATAGCCACTAACTATTGAGACATTCTCCTTGGGAAAATTAGATCCACATCATCCGCAACTTCATCACTCATATTGTGGTGGGCCCAGCTGCAAAATGCAGCCCCAAATCTCAAAGGACAAAGCCTGGAATCAATACCGACTCCCTCAATAATGAAGGTCACAGGCCACATCCATTTTGCATGTCTTTTGATGGCACTTTGATGTCCTTTCACATCACGTTTGCCTTTTTCCATATTTCTATATTCCATTCACTTGATATCCCCATCACTTTTTAACCATCATTTTTGCCACCAGACTAAAGAGTCTTTCCATTTTTTTCCAAAAATCCAGCCTCTCGTAGCTATATTGAAGTGAACCAACTCCAACACAGCAATATAAAACGCTCTACCAAACATGATCCCTACAGAATCCACAGGAGCTTACTAGCTCCGAAACCATGTTAAAGTACGTGCCCCTTAGTGATCGCCCCGAAGGACCCATAGATCACAGGCTGAACTTAATCTTTGCTCCATTAAAACTCGCGTTGCTTCGAGAGTTTGGGATCATCATATTGAACTGAACAAATAACCCATTGCTTAAATTGATGATCAATCATAATCAACATCGTCAAGAAATCAATCCTGATTGAACAACATCACATCACTTCATATGCTCAGTCCACATGCATCACCCTTTTAACCCAATATAACCATCACACATGACTTGAGAAACCCACACAACACTTGCTACCATTTTTCCACCTCTTGCCAGATGCAATGTTGCCCTTTGCACCACACCTTGCTCTGAATCTATAGATCCATCATCCGGCAATTCAATTCTTGATCCCTTTGATCCTCCTTATCCACACTGGATCACTTCAGAATATTCTCCGAATCCGCCAGATGAATCTCCACCCTCGCCTGAACAAGTTTGCTCATGGGGCCCTAGTCCGAATTCGGACTCCTTCTTGGTGCTCCAGTACTTAAGGTCTTCTAGGAGGGAGGCCCTATTGGGCCCCCGGGCCCAAGAACGAGGGGGTGCGGGCGGTTGGCACTGTTGTCAAATGGACCAGCGTCCCCCCCCTTTTATCCTCTGCCACTGCCCCATAACACCACTCCCTTACACTATCACAACATCCCTTACACCATAACATCCTATGCCTTATCCCATAGACTTTCCCCTTACACCATTGCACTCTAAATGCACTTCATATTGAACTACCCTGTTCCAACGCCCTACCACACTGCGAACTCACATATTGCACCTATAACATTCCCCCTTCCCGTCAGAATCCACCACACTCGCCAGAATTCAACATATGCATTTCCTAGTGACAATATCCCATTATGCCATCACCATTTTCCTTTATCCCATGCACAGCACCAGCCACCGGCATACTTTACACTCTATTGCACTTTCCACACAACTCTCACGGCGCCCACAGCATCCCACAGCCCTCACACACGCTGCCAAGGGTGGCAGGACGGTGACACGATCAACATCACCCATCACACTATTGCCACCACCCTTATGTAATGCACATGGCACACCGCGCCCAACGACCAGTGCCACCAAGTTCACACCTATATTACAGCGTGTGTGAGCCCATGACATGCCGCATTCACCTATGTTGATAAAAATAGATGATTGATCATTATCCTAAATGATTCAAATGAGTTTAATGACTTAAATGATTGTCATTTAACCATAGCATATCCAAATTCATCAGAATCGCGCAAGCAATTCAATGATCATGTTTTCACCGCCCAATTCATTCATCTAAGCCATCTAACTCATCTAAACTTTTGTCAAATCATCTTAAACATCAATTGATCCTTTGTGTTGTTGTGCACACCCTAAGTTTTGCCTCAATGGGGAGCTAGTCACCGTATGCATCATATTGTTGTTTTTTCACTTGTGCAGCAATGCCAATTTGTTGTCCACATCATCCACACATTAGTCACCATGGTGACTATACAATAATTTAACACTAATCAATGATATGCCACACGGTTATGCAAAGTTGCTTATCCAGGATATGCCACGTGGTATATTTAAACATTCTTTTTCATACGTTGGAGCAGGTCTGGACACCCGTGATCTTGGCGTGGACATATTCCAGCGAAGAATTGCATCAGTGTGGGAGGGTGTCTTCCTGCTTGCCCTTTGGGTTCCAATATAAGATATGATTGATTGGTAGTGGTGCAATAGGTATTTCACTGTGTGAAGTGTGGCCACAAGTGGATGGCAACTTCAACCATTAGCAAACGTTACAATCAATATGTGGGGGTGCCTTCAGCTCCCCGTTGCACCCACAAAGACTTTGCCGCTGATTTGATCAATGGGAACCCAGGACACTGCTGCAATGTGTATATGATGCAGTTGGCCAATTTCATTTTTTGTCGCCCTCTTTCCCAATTGTGGCGGATGTCCATATCCACTTGTAATAATCGACCAAAGCGCACGGTCCTGGATACGTTTGCCGTGACATGCATGTACAGCTCGTGCAAGAACCGTGTGCCAATCGTGTACTGACCACAAAGTACACAATTGCTATTAGTACACGGTTTAAAACGTGTAAACCGTGTTCTTTATCGCGTTGTCCATGGTGGTGAGGTGGGCCACTTTCGTGTACTGCACAGGGCTGAAAACTACACGATTTTGGCAATCGTGTAGAATCGCGCTCCAAAGTACCCATTTCTTACTCGTTTCTAAAACGGTTTCACAAGATTATACTCCACGTAGATGGTCGAATTTCGCCAAGTGATTGTGGATACTCACGAGTATCACATGAACTTTAAGTGCATTTTGCATGGGTTATTGTCATGAATCTGCGTGAATTTGCATCCATCATGAATGGGGATGTTATTATGTATGTAACATGTATGTAACATATATTACGTCATTATGTTACTATGTACATGTTATTATCGCACAATATTTTGGTACCTTGGTTTGGAAGTTACAGTAGGTGCACACACACATTAGAGCAACTTTATCGGTGGGTGCTATTCTGCCGGCGGAACTATTCGGTTATCCGAATAGCGCCCCACGTCAAAAAACATGATTAACGGCCGGGGAGCAATAGCACCCCAATTGCACCCCCGGAGCTATTCGGCGCCGAGTGGCGCTATTTTGGCCCCGAATAGCACCGGTGCTATTCGCGCAGAACATTGTAGTGATGCTATTCGGCGTAGGCACAGCACCCACCATTGCGGATGCGTGCAGGGGAGCAACAGCACCGGTGCTGCTCGGCAAATGCCGCCTTAGTAAGGTGGCACGGTAGCCAATGAGAACCGTTCCTGGATAGCTCCGCCGGTGCAACAGCACCGACCGATAAAAACGCCCTTAGCTTAGCTGAACCGCGAATCAGTTGGGCAGTCAGCAAAAGACCGTGCGAGTGATTGGACGCTTCCTGAAGTCTGCCTCGTTGCTCGTTTCTTCGCGCTCGGCCCCGAACGGGCTGCCAGCACCGAGTCATCCCTGCCGTCGGGCGACCGGGAGCCGATGCGTCATATGCCAGCAACCGGGACACAGATAAGATGACAGAAAGGGTTTGCAGCACAGCACCCGTGCAGCACACTTGTGCACATCCTGCTCCCGTCCTCCCGTCCCCAAGGCACCCACTCGCCCTGCGCCGCTCTCTGCCGCCGACAACACCCCGTGCTTCCCCCACGCTCACACCCGACCCCCCTCCTGCTGCAAGGAGAGCGAGCCATCCCGCCGCCAGTTCTCAGGCCGCGAGCCGCCCGGCCGCCGTCGACAACGCCTCCCCGCCGCGCGACCTTCGCGAAGATGTCATCCCGCTCGGCGAAAACGGAGGCGCCCGGCGCAGCCCGCGGGCCGCCCCGGTACACCAACGGGCGACGCACGATCCCGCAGCCGACGCGGACGCGCAACGGTCCGATTGCATCCCCGGCCCGCATCCCGCCCTTCCGCGCCAAGGTCGTGGAGGCTGTGAAAATGACCACCCGTGACCAGCGCGCCGAGCTGCTCAGAGACGCGGGATGGAACCTGTTCCGCCTGCGCTCCGAGGACGTCATGGTGGACCTGCTGACGGACAGCGGCACCGGCGCCATGAGCGCGGCCCAGTGGGGCGCGCTCATGATTGGCGACGAGTCGTACGCGGGGGCCAGGTCGTGGTTCCGCTTCCGGGACGCCGTGGCTGAGCTGACCGGCTTTCCTTTAGTTGTGCCCACGCACCAGGGGCGCGCAGCCGAGAGGATCCTGTTCGAGTGCCTGGGCGTGCGAGACAAAGTGGTGGCATCCAATGGTCTGTTCGACACGACGAGGGCCAATGTCGAGAGTCAGGGGGGTACCGGGCTGGACATCCCGTGCCCGGAGGCGAGCAAACCTGAGCTGGAGGCGCCGTTCAAGGTGCGTTTGCGCGCCGGCGCGGGGCGAAGGAAGTGGGGCGGGCGGGGGTGGGGGTGGCCAGGGGCGTGTGTGGTGCCGGTCCTTGGTGCCCGAGGATGAGCGAGTGGCTCTGATGGTGTGGTAATCGCTGTGTAAGGGTGGGAGTCAGCGACACGTGTCAGGGATGTGCTGCAGCCCGGCCCATTGGTCAAGGGAACGGGCGGGGGGAAAAGATTCGTGACGTAATTGACTGTCCAGCTTGTCGATGTTTGTTGATGACGTGAGCGGGTGGGGATGGCGCACGTGGGGATGTTGCGTGGTCGCCAGCCTTGGCATCTGCTGTCGAGTCAGCAGCAGGGTGTGCGATGTGGAAATTCGGGGACGGGCCTGGGCACGCCGCGCGGCGACCGTTGTGTCACGCAAAGCACAATGCGACGAACCGGTGGAATACGGGGGCAAGTTTGCACCTGTTGCGTTGTGTTATTGGCGTCTTACAATAAGAATGCGTGTGTTTTGTGTTTCTTGACAATGTTTATGCACATAACCTAGGGATGCGTATCTCCCTGGCGAGGCGCCAGAAATTGGTATTGGTGCTAGTTTTCGAGAGAAGGAGATTGAAAGGCAGCCACAAGGCTGTGCATCCAGCCAACTCCACTCCCCTTGGCGACGGAGGGTGTTTACTAACAAGTTGGACCGCTGTTTCGTTCAAACATGCAGCATTTTGTGTCAACACAAAGACCAATGGAAGTGCGCCATGTCATGCGGAGCGCCCCGTGCTTTATAGCAAGCCGCTCTTTCAGCCAAGCGCCACGCGTCAAACGCCTTTGCTTGCTGTGGAAGATGAAGACGACTTGCGAACAGGATGGTTTGTGTGAAATTTTCCTCGCGTTGCCACTTATCCAATTGTGCGTGCTGAACCAGGGGAATATCGACGTCGGCAAGCTGGAGGACCTCTTGTCCGAACAGGGCCCTGCGTTGGCAGCAGTTGTCATGACGGTGACCAACAACACCGGAGGGGGCCAGCCCGTGTCCATGGCGAACATCCGTGCGGCGTCGCGGCTCTGCCGCAGGCACGGCGTCGGATTCTATTTGGATGCATGCAGATTCGCGGAGAACGCCTATTTCGTACAGCAAAGGGAGCCCGCGTACATGGAGGCGTCAGTAAAGTCCATCGCGCAGGTGCGTTCAAATTTCAGTGGCGTTTGGGAAGGTAGCGAACGTGTACGCGAGGTGACCGCAAAGCGAACAAGGGAAGCGTTTCAAAGCAATTTAGCGTCTTGCCACGTGGCGACTGCACTCATCATCAAGGTGCAAGAGCTTGCGCCAAATGCACCGCCAAGATGCAATGATTGTGTCCCATTTTTGCGCCACGTAGACTCAATTAGAAACTGTGTGCAATGGAAAATATCTTGCCGGTGTTAACGACAGTAACATTTTTTCCACGCCTTCTGCACCCAGCCTGGTTCCAGGCATTTCATGGATCATACGAGAATAGAATATCACGAGATCGTTCTGGGAGATATGGCATTCGCAGGGCTTCAGCGCTGCTACCTCCTTTGTGAAGCTCAATGTACTTTTGTGTTTGTTCCGTTAGCGGATCAAGGGGCCAAAGGCACACATGCCAACTGCGCACGCTTAGAGCCCCGTCCACGCATGCATTTTGATTCCAATTCATACCCGCCCAACAACCGAATTTTCGCAGTTAGGTGGGGCTCAAGGACACAGCCAAGTGTAGCTAAAATGGCAGCTGGCAGCTCCCTATCAACACACGTCGTCTCCCTATCAGTAGACGTTATGAAATTTTTTGTACTTTGCAAACATATTCATTATTGCCAATACAGCACATCAATGCACATGTTCGCGCGGTTTCAGTATTTTTCCATCGCATTCATTGATTGAACTTAGGTGCATGACCATGTCCCAGCATTGGAGCAACTCGACAGCTAACACTAGCAGAAAACAGCCTGTTTGCGATGCCAATTGCGACGCCATTTGACACAAATTGATGCCACCACAGCCACTTCTATGCCATCGCAATCACTGTAACGGCATCATTTTGTGTCAAAATAGCATCGCAGTTGGCATCGCAGACATGCTGTTTTCTACCAGTGTAACGGCTGCAGCTTTTTAAGGTAAGGGGTGAGTGGCCTCTGTGTTTGAGTTTTCCGCATGGACTTTGATTGGAGAGCTTGTCTCTCACCTGCGCAGGAAATGTTCTCCATGGCAGACGGCGCAACATTCAGCGCGAAGAAAGATGGTTTGGCGAACATCGGAGGATTTTTGGCTGTATCGAATGAGCGCCTGCACCAGTCCATAGAGCAAGCCTTGATTTTAACGGAGGGATTTCCGACGTATGGAGGATTGGCAGGCCGGGATTTGGATGCCATTGCCGTCGGACTTCAGGTAACAGAATTGTGTACAGTACCGAAACACTGCACAAGAATGAGGGGAACTGCCATTGGTGGTGGCGTTAGTCAGCTGTAACAAGTCATGCAATACTTACTACGTGGCCATCAGAACAGTCCCCTAGAAATCTGATATTTTCAGGGAATTGGCAGTGCGCTGATGGTCAAGTAGATGCACTGCATAATGCCATAGCGGTATTTTCTCAAGCGCTCCTGGCCACTGTCTTGGCCCGGATTGATTGGCAATCGTCTGACTGCCGCAGGACGTAGGAATCTGTAGGAGAAAAAAGAGCGAAAGCGCCGACAACGAAGTGGATAGTGCACACAATTTCTTTGTTCTTTTAAGTAAACAATTTATACTTATATCAAATCGCGCTTAGTTGCTAAAAATGGTGTGATGGTCACATTAAGAATCATTCTCACATTCCATTATGGACCAGCTCGTGCCGAAAACTTACACACAGCAACAATTGGCGAAACTCGGTTTTGCAAAGTGTTTACAAAACGAACTGAGTCCGGCACGGTGGATCTGAAATAAACAAAGAATCGCGGAAGACCATAGCGGACGTTCTCCCCTTGGACCGCATACTACAAGTAAAAACTGGTCCAAAACATACGGTTTCGAATCGCGTAAAACCGCGTCCAAACATGCAAAATCACGTACCCTCACCCCATCGTCACTGCACTGTTTGCCACCATTTTTTACGATAAACACACGATTTAACACGATATTTGCATGAGTTTTAATCCTGTTACAGGGTACGCGGTTTTGAAAACCGTGTATTTTGCCCGCTTTGTTACTGTGTGTGCGCGAAGCGCTGACCCCGGCATCTCCCCGACCGCAGGAGGTCGTCCAGGAGAGCTACGTCGAGAACAGGGTCTCCGACGTGCGGTACCTTGGGGAGGGCCTGCTGGCCGCCGGGATGCCCATCATCCGGCCCCCGGGCGGCCACGCCATCTACGTGGACGCCGGCAGCCTCCTGCCGCACATCCCGCCTCGACACTTCCCGGGGCATTCCCTGGCCTGCGCCCTGTACAAAGAGGGCGGCATCCGGTCCTGCGAAATCGGCAGCTTCATGTTTGGGGCCCCCGAGGACCAGACCGGGCAGGCCAAGGGACAAGACCAAGCTGAGCGCCGACTGGAGCTGTGCCGCTTGGCGGTGCCCAGGAGGGTGTACGGGCGCGCCCACTTGGATTACGTCGTCGACGTGGCTGCTGACGTGGCTAAGGGGAGGGGGCAGCTGGGGGGGTACGAGATTGTGGAGGCGCCGCCGAGGCTGAGGCACTTCAGCGCGTCCCTGAGGCCGCTGGCGTCGAGGGCAGTTGATATGAAGCTGGACTTGGACGTGGGGTTGGGGCAGCTGGGCGGGCCGGGACGCTGTGGCGATGCAAAGCAGGGAAAAGAGGCCGCGGGTGTGCCGGTGGGCAAATGAGGCCCGCCGTTGCTTTCATCGTGGCGGTGCAGTGGTCCGTTCAGCTCGGCGTGTGGAGGACAGGACCGTTGCAAGACAGAGTAGCGAGGCATACTACCACTTTCCCGTGACCTTTAGGGAGGTTACCGGTAGCCCCAGCACGTGGAGGGCGTGCGGGCTTTGAATTGGAGATCGAGCTGTGCTTCTTATGGGGATGCCTGTCGATTGGCCCGGGGTTTGCCGTTGCAAGGTCGCTGTGGTCTTCGACCCTGCTGTTGTCGCCGCTCCTGCCTCCGTTGCTTGGCAGGACTATTTGTGAAACCGATCTGACTGAACGTGTGGCATACATGCCGCCAAGAGCGCTTGTGGCGTGTGTGTTAAGCTCCGCAGGTGATTGTGAGCATTGAGGGGTAGGTGGGTATGTTGTTTGGGGCGCACAGACATGGCGTGTCTGCATTGCAATAGAGAAGAACATGCTTTCAGTTGGTGCACGACGTAACCGTCGTCGTTTGGAGAACAGGCTTGTTTGGTTTACCACTTCATCTGCTCCTATGCGCTTAGGGGTAGCGTCACGTGTGGGATGCACCACGTGTAATAAGTGAGTCTTCCAAATCAAGCTCGGTTTTGGAGCCCCAAGAGCAACTTTGTCCGTGCTATTGTCCCGGCGGTGCTATTCGGCTATCCGCATAGCACCCAATGTCAAAAGACCATCCTTAAAGCTGCAATAGCGGCCTGCCCGTCGCTGACATACGGCTGTGTGAAGGCCGCATTCGGCAGGGTCAACAGTGATGGTGTCTGTATTTTAGCACCAACGCGTCGCCAAGTGCCACCAACGATCATGACTCCCGGCCCTTCCCTTGGCGTGCCCAAATGCCGTAGATTCCCATTATTCATATGGCTAGTGCGTGGCACTGTTAAATCACCATTATTAAGTGCATGCATTGGTTCATCGAACATACGGTAGATGGGATGCACTCGTCCACCCTCACGGCATAACCCGCTGCCCAGCAAATGTGGTTCGTGCTGCCCAACAGGCACTAACCAAAAGCACGATTGGTTCGCGGTGCATCTGTTGATTGCAACATTGGAGCAGCAGGGGACAACCAAAGCGCGCACCAGTTGTCAACCAACTCGTCGACAGCGCGTCGCGACAATGTCAAGTATCGTGGTGGAGGTTGGATACATCGTATGATACGATTGTACGTCTCATCTAAATCTAGCAGTTTACATCTAAATCTGGTAGTTGCACTACTAACCTGCTGTCTTGATGGCGCCGAGAGGCCTGCCAAGCTTTGCATCGATGTGACCGTGGGTAATGACTTGCGTTGCACCCACCGTCCCTAAAACCTAGGCGACGAGTGTGCTCCTGTTTAGGTACAAGGCACACGCACGTAGCGCATTGTAGCACGGCAGCACATCACCGGCTTCTCCTGGAACCACCGTCACTGCGCCAGAAGCTGTAATGAATTTTCAGATGATGGCAAGCTGACGGTCGAACTGCCTGTTGGAGCGTCACTGATTTGACATTTGACGAATTTACGCCACGAATGCCTGTGCAGTCCAAGTGTCCTTTTTTTTGGCGAGGACCCTGTTTTTGGCAGACTATTGTCCCGTCCCCATACAGCCCCTCGGTCCAGTGACACACAATGCCCTCAAAGCAACCGGCACAAGGGACAATTGCGCCAAAGGAACAAAGGACTGTGGGCTGCTATCGCAACGCGCCGCATCGCCAGGCCACGAAAAGCTTTAAGTCCCCCGACCCAAGGTCTCCATGTTTTAGAACATTGTTGCTGGCGCTGCGAAGGTCCGGCGCAACTGCAGACCTCATGGTGCGAAGCATCCAACTTGTGGTTGCAAGGTCGCTGAAGGTGGAACGCCGTTGAGGGCAGGAGTCAACACAGGACATTCTTGGCATGTTTGGAGACTACTGAAGGGTCTAGTTGCAACATCGGGGGCGTTTCTAGGTAGACGCTGATGCCTCGAACCCTTTGACAAACGGCAGAGTTGACACCGAAGAGGCGATGGAAGCCAAGCGGTGGAGGATCTGTGGTCTTTTGAAGCACCACATGGCCAGCGGTATGAAGAGGTGGTTTGGAGGTCGCCGTGCACCCGAGACACGTGCCTGTGGTTGAAGGGAGTGGAAGAAATGCAGTAGATGGCACTCATTCCGCGACTATTCTCTCCTGGCTGTGTGGAGGTTTCTGAACAGCCCTGCACGCGGACCGACATCGGCAATCGTGTGTGTGCATGCCGTTTCAACTTCCTATGTTTTTGGCCACGCCGAGGGGAAACCTACAAGGCGGAGGATGCTGAGGCCTGCCATGGCCTCCTGAGGATTCTTTACTGGGCATTGCAGTTCTGAGGTGTCGTCTGGCGAGCATGCAGGTGCGTTCGAACGAAGTTCGAAGCGGAGAGGAACTCGGATGGAAGCACCGTTCTTCTTTTCGAAGGCAACTTGCCTGGAGTTCGACACAAAGCACAGCTCTGATGCTGTTGCTGGGAGCTTGGATTCGCAGCCTCATTTCTGGTGCTTCCTCTGAGCATAGGAGTGGCTGTCTTCACCTTCACGTAAATTTGTGCACTTTTTGTAATCATTTCTGTTTGAGCCACTCCAAGTCAGGCTCAGCTGAGTGACTATCCCAGCCAGCTGGTCCCGAATCCAACAAACTGACACGTGAGAAACGGCCAATTCTGTTGCAAATTTACCCGCAACTTCCCCACATTAAATGATGCTTCCATTAAATGAGGCTCCTCGAGCGTGACTGCCCCGCGTTGGGCCGCAGTACAGCGGTACTGCACAATTTTCCATTTTCGATTTCTCTCGCTAAATCACACCACCACAAGCAGATCGGCGCTCCAGCCATCTCCCTAGGAAAGCTCCGCCAGGATGTCGGCCTCGCGAATCACAATGTACTTCGTTTCATCCTCGCCCTGACATCACCAAACACGTAGCAGCGAGTCAACGGATTCGTTCCCACCATGCAATCGATACTTGGGGACTCGTATGTGTGCACTTGAACAGCATTAGAAAGTACTTGCTGTTGAACACCAGTTTGGACCTCTGATATTCCAGATGCGCTGTAGCACTCCGGAATAGGGAAACTTGCGGTCCATGTGGTTGCATGCAATCAGCAACATTGCTGTTCACTCAATTGCCCAAAGCAGGGTCACATAGTAGGAATTTGGAGCACAGCAATGAGGAAGCAGCCACGGCACTACATTGGATTATAGGTGCCTATCCACATCTTCCCAATGTCGGGAATAGTGATCAAGGCCTGTACACAAACGGCATGTCGCATGTGGACCATGTGAAATGCCATGAGGCTGGAAGCTGCCAAGGGATCGCTGCAATCAATACAAAGCAGGGAACGGCGGGGGTCAATTCAACGTTCAGCAATCTGCCCGATGCAGTGAAGTGCAGTCATATCACGGTGGCGACTGTGAAGTCATCTATATCTACTCATTTATAATCGACGTTCATAAGTGACTGTGTGTGCCTCATACAAGGGAAGACTATCAGCAACAGGTGAAGCAATATACCCCCATCCCCCTCCAAACAGCAATACGAAAAAAAAAGCAGAAGATAAGAAAACTCAAAGCAATCGCTGCCGGCAGCTATACCAGCCTGCGGTCACATACCCCAACAACACGTCGATGTTCCCAGATCAAACCAGCGCATGCCTGTACAATTCCATTTCATTTGTCCCACAAGTACGTTCAAAGCTAGGCACATGCATCCATCCAACCGATCGCCATACATCTCAACAGCACGCGCACCTCGAATTCAACGCCGCTGAATTTGGAGTACAGGATCGTGGAGCCGACATTAACATTAGTCTTGATGAGGTTGCCATCCTCGTCCTTCTTGCCAGGGCCCACAGCAATCACCTGATACATGACAATTCCCTCAGGCCAACAATTACGCAATCAATGCTTGCCAGCCTTATCAACACAGCCAGCAGTGCAAGGCTTCCCAACGTCTCACGGCAAAGCCGCTCTGTGGATCGTATTGATACGGCCAACATGTCGGCGCAATCAACCCTTTTCCTAGTAAGTACAGGTCCCTTGATTTCGGCATAAATCAAATGTGCTGCTGAAATCCATGTAAACCGCATCTCCCAATACTGGGAGATACGATTTCCATCCATTAATGGATGCCTAGCAATCGAATCACAAGCTGAGCCTTGCCTGGGCCATGCAGCTAGTGCACAGAGTGCACCTGGCGAGACAACACCTAACCTTTCGACCAGCCAGCCAGCAGGCTCATACATCTTTAAACACGGTGTTGCAAACCTCTGAACAACACCGCAGCAGTATCATGCTCACAGGCTGTTCAACAGAAAGAGTCAGCCAGAAAGGAGCAAGTCTCAGGTGCACAGCTGACAGCAAACTGCGCACAGGCCACACAGTCTGAGCACTGGCAGTGGAAGGACAGAGGACCTTTTGTACCAGGGGACCGTGCCAGACTGATAGTCATCATGTTTCCGGTGGAGCAACATTAAGCAAGTCAAGAATTAAAAGTTCAAATGCGTCGTGTACCAAGCAGGGCGCATGCGTGCCCAGCGAGCCAATTTTCGCCAACTGGGGAGCAGGTGGTATCGAAATGCAAGAAGTACAGATCGGCCTGGGATACAGCGAGCGCCGTTTCTGGAGAACTGGGGGTCGCGCACCGTGCCAAAGGTTGGCCTCTCTTGTGTTGCACTTGTCAGGAGCACGCCTCCAGAGGTCGATTCTTCCACATCAGACACCTGGCACACCACAGGCACTCAGATTCCTGCTGCAATAAAGCGCAATGCAAATGTGTGGGAGTTGAAGTTCATGGAATTCTGCATTCATGGCAGCTCTGCCTGTCAGTGTTCTGTGTCACAAAATGGTGACATGCACCAAATTGTCCTCCCCCCCCTTCGCCCAGAAAGGCAAAGCCAGGGGATGCAGCTTGTGCCCCCATGGTTAGAGGTCAAGGCCATCTGCAAGATGGCAATTTTCCTTGACTCCAATCGCCTTTTCCCAGTAGCAATCATCTGTCGATTGACAAGAACGGGCCCCGCACAAGCAACATCAATTTGAACGGTGACAAAATGGATTCTTATTCAAGCTTCAAGAGTGGAAGTGCAAGCGCCAGTGACAAACACAGATGCACATTGGGCCCTGAGGCGAAAACTGAGGAATGGGGCCTGGGTGGCATACAGCTGTGCTCACCTCAACAAGTATTCTGTCTGCAACTGGTGCCAGAGCTTTCACCTCCGTGGATTTCATGATGCCCACTACATCTTCTTCCTGCCCACAAGCAGCAGGAATTGTGTCAGCCAACAGTTGTTTCTGGTGAAGCTCCCTGGTCCACAGAGTTCGCATTGCAGTTCGCATGTAACCGCAGTATGGTCTTGTTGAAGCCATCAAATCAAGCAAGACCAAAAATGAAAGCAAGTTCCGGTACTAGCACTGCTAGTATTTGCTTCAATGGACAAAGTACTTGTTCATCAGCACATTTTCTGCTATTAAATTTAAAATGATGGTAACAATAGATAACCAATACAAGTATCTGCACCACAGTATACTGCAGAATTTGCAGCCCACATGATTCGCCACATTATGTGCTCCAAGTGATTAAGGCAGTATGGTCAGCTCCAAGTAGTCGCGAAACTCAGAAGTTGTCCCACGATGGGGATTGGCTTACAACAAAAAACTGCTCCGTTCACCAACAACATTCACCACAGAAACTTAAAATGTGTGAATGCACACAATGAGGCAATCACCTTGAGCAGCACATGCTCCGCCTGTTCCATTGCAATTTCAGTCCCAGCATACTTGCTGTACACGACACGGTCTCCAACCTCCACATGCACAGAAACAAATATAAGTATAAGGACTGAATGAAGTACAAGTTCAAGTACAAGTACAAGTTCAAGTTCAAGTACAAGTACAAGTTCTTGTCATCGGTTGCAGCTGCAACCAAGGCACAACGACGCACAAGGTATCAGCAAGCGGCAACACATAGCCACACAGTTGAATTCGTTTCATTGCCTGCTTTCCCTTTCTTGATATTTCTCAGCGAGACTTTGACACAACAGCGGGGTCAGATACTTGGACATGGACAGTATTGTCCACTGTGAACATTCTGCACATTCCAGTGAGATGGAATTCAATCGTCAATACACTTGGTTGGTGTCAAACGGACATGTAAACACATGGGAACCAAAGAGACATCGTGAATGTGTGATAACTTATCAATGCCGCCAGTTGCAACATCGCTGCTTGATTCTGACGAGACAAATGCACTTCCCAACAATAGGAATTCAACAAAAGGGCAAGTTCAACTGCGGTAGAAACAGTTACAGAAAATCTGTTAGCTGTGTCCAAGGCCTCCACATGCTGTCACGATGTTGTGGATTTCGACTTCGCAAATGATGACGGAGTGCTGTCCAGTGGCATAGGCTGGGAGGCGGTGGACGAATTCCTTGCAATATTTTAGGGTGAACAGTGCAAAACCCTTCCCTGCCTGGAATACACCTGGTGGGGAGCTTTGGCAAATGGATGACAAATGTTAGTGCTGACAATACAACTAGTACTGTTAGTACAATATGCCAATACTACTTTTCATGCCAGCACATTAGAATTGCTGATGTGTATGGACACAAAACGCATGGCAAACATCTCAAAATATCCTGAGCACACTTCCAGGTCCTCAAGGGGCCATCAATGGTAGCTGAGTTCACCTCCACCCCAAACATACCCAAACGTTGTTGAACACAAAAGTGGGTGCATTAGCATTAGCAGTGATGTGCCGTGGTTTTAAAATAGTACGGAGATCCCCACAATACAGATCAAGTGCAATGCAGATCCATTGTCACCTTCACGAGGCTGTCCTTGAAGGCAGCCACCACTTCCCCCTGGGTTGGGGCCTTTTGGGCCGATGCGGGCAGGACGATGCCCCCAATGGTGGTCGCATCAGCAGAGTCCACTTTCACAAAAAGTCGCTCACCCTTTGGAGTCACCTTCTTGAACTGCGCCATCACAGGGGATCCGACACAGCTTAATCTTGGAAATGCTATTCATTCTTGTGAAGTCATGCACTCCTCAACCACCTGCCTGGGACAGTTGATTACTGGGTTTCTCCAGAGATTGCAGTTCTCCTTTCAGGGAATAGCAGTGCCTGGACAATTTCACTGAGACCTGCCAATCAATTTTTGATCGCATTGAGGATCAGCCCTTGTTGCGAGTTTTGCGAGCTTGCCACAACGATTTTCAAACACGTGGTGCCCATGGATGGTGACCATTTCTCCAATTCCTATCTGCCCTACCTCACGGCAAACATCAGATGCAGATAGCACAAACAGGTTCTTCGTGTACCAACATCTGGCACATATGCAGGTATCCTCATGCACCTAGTAGACTTGATGTAGCATGGTGTGGAGCATGGCGTGTCTTCTTCATGCTTGATGCACAAGGGCCAAAAGAGGTGGTTGGGGGGGAAGCGACTACAGCATGATAGTGTTTCCTCGACAATAGATGCGCATCAAATACTGACCGTTGCCGCGAACACAGGCACATCGTGGTGTCTTGTGGCCGTTTTGACTGGCCCTGCAGTTTCCAATGTTCGTGTTTAAGAGAGTGGCAATCATGCCCAACAACAACACAGCTTCCAGGACAACCCACGTTTCCTAACATCGTTGGCACATCTGCAGCTCCTGTTTATGAAAGCATAGGCTGACGCTGTTTCGTTTGCGGCGCAAAGACACGAGCATCTTTCTCCCAGCGCGTGGTGCCATTCGTACCCGTCGACGACTGCATTTCTTTACTGTCTGGTGCACGGTCAAGATGCGACGCGCTCATTGCTTTCACGTTGCTCCACGCGGAATGCAAGGAACATCAGCTCAGTCTCACCAACAGTACGTAAACTCAAGTCCCAGAACGGGCATCCCCTCCTTTGATCCATCAGGCGCGTTGATCAGCGGCGCGCCCACGCCCGTCCTCATTGCGTACGACTAGCAAGACAGGTGCTCAGCAGGCCCTGCGAACAGGACTTCCCGATGCGCTTTGCTGCCGCCTAAACTGCTGATGCAACCGAGCCGCCGTCTCCGCCGTCCCAGCAACTTACGGCGGCACCATCACTGGCCCCAGGGCCGTTTGATGCGCACGCCCCATCAAACTTCAGAATGCGTAGCAGGATCACCTCTGCAGGGAGCGGCGCAACCATCGCGCGAACCCTGGCCGGTCCGCCTCGAGCGGCATGCCCGCATGGCCTGATGGCCGACTGGTGGAGGGTCGTCGAAGCGGAGAATTTGCTCAACGACATGGCGAGCGGCTGCCAGCGGCTGCTGGATGGCCTCTGCTCCGGCCCTGGCGGAGCTTTGGAGCGAGAGGGCGACGGAGCACTGTGCTCAGTTCGGGAAGCAACCGCAGGCGCAGGAATTGCGGGCTGTGGGCAGGCAGGAAGCGAAGGTCGTCCGTACAAGGACGGGCCGTATCTGAAGCACATTTTGGTAGTTCGATATTGTGAATTTCCTCCCCCCATACCAATGTTTTTTGGCAGTGGACATCAGGTTGAAAACCCATGGCAATCAACAACCATTTGATTTTAAATATTGAAGCATTGTAAATACGCTCTTTATGGTGATAAACGATGGCAATTACGGGCTTGCAACAATTACCAAATACCTAAAGCATGTTTTGAAACCCTAACGCATAGCAACGTAACGCTTGGCCTTTTTCTGCGGAGCAACATAAAAACACAAATAACACACTGAAGAAATAAATGCAGGGCAACAAATGCAGCGGTAAAGCTTTTTGACGCGGAAGAGTTGAATTCTCTACGGTACTCTGAACTGTATGTAACGATACTGCGTACGGTCCATTTCTGGCGGGGGTGCGCACTTTGAAGAGGCAGCGACACCCGCAAGGGCCGCGAGGTTGCGGGCCCATGGGGCGTTGGAACGCTGCGTTTGACCGACGCTCGCGATACGCTGTCAGTACCGCTGCGAGTTTCGCCAGTGCCAGAAGCTCCTGCGGTTGGCCCGCTGGATCTGCGTCGTGGCCCACGGGATGGCTTGACTCAGGAGCTGCAATTGGAACCGGCAAGCTGACAGACGGCGACGCTGGGAGACGACGGAATGATTCGGAGTGCTCTGCCTGGCGATCTGATTTGAATGGCGGGTCGTCTGTGACAGGTTTTGCGGCAACTGACCCTCAAGCGTCCGAAGATCCCAAGGATGCCCCATTGGGTCCTGACCCATTGCGTTCCGCCACAGATTGGGATCTGATTGAAAGGGCAGAAGGGGTACCCCAACGTACACACACCCCAGGGAAAGCTATTGGGAGCGGTAGAAGTTATATTGCTGGTGCGGTGTGCCTGCATTGTCCATCTGGGAGCGCAATGGGGATACGATCGTTGAGTCTGGGACCCAGGGGAGACTGGCTGACCCTGCAGCGGCGCGCCCTGGCCCAAGGTGCCGGTGGAAGAGCGTATGCGCGCGGAAGGCGCGCTGGCAGAGGCAGGGGGAGAGGGAGGGCGGGTCGCAACGGTGGGTCTTGGGGCGACCCCGTGCTCGATGAGTACAGCAAAAATCTGTATGGTAAGAGAGGAAGGGGTGGCGGAAGGGGGAGGGCTGAGGGACGGAGGGGGGCCCGTGGTGGTCGGCCAGCGCCCAGGGCACCGCGCGGAAGGGGCCGTTGGGCTGGATATGTGGATGATGTTGCCTCCAGTGATGATGACCTTTCGGACGATGAATTTCGGGAGGCCAGGGCAGCGAAGGGGAGAGGCAGGGGGGGCGCCCGGGGCAGGGGACGTGGGAGGGGTCGTGGAGATGATGTTGCCTTGAGTGATGATGATCTGTCCGACGACGACTTCGAGACCTGGCCAGAGCAAGAGAGGCGCATGGGGAGGTATTATCCAGATGAGTTTTCTGCAAGTGATGATGATCTGTCGGACGATGAGCTTGATGAGCCCAAGCCAGTGAGGCGCCAAGGAGAGAGGGGTGCCAGGGGGAGGGGAGGCGGGAGAGGTCGCGGATCAAGGCAAGCGGACGACTTTGGTTTGAGTGATGACGATTCGCCAGATGGTGAAGTTGTGGAACCCAAGGCTGCAAGTGGTGGAGGGGCAGCTGTTTCTCAGGGAAGGGGAGGTGGCGGACGCAATGGTTCAAGAGGTGCTGTCGACGCTGGCTCGGATGAAGATCTGTCAGGCGATGAGGGTGCAGCACCCAGGGCAGCAAGAGGTCGAGGAAGGGGGCGTACACGGGGTAGAGGTCGCAGGGGAGTACAGACAGACGTTGCAGCTGAAGCAACAACTTGATGGATGCAAAATTCAAGATTGCATCTGAAGGAGGACTGCAGATGTGTCCTGGCCAAGGGAGAATTACAGTGAAGTGTGGGGTAACCAGCAGCAAAGCTGGCTTCAAGAGAAATTGCTTGAGAATTTTATTTGCACCTGCTCCCTTGTCATGCACAGGCAGGCGGCGACGAGATCAGGAATTGCATGACGATGGCATACACTACAGGTAGCTGTGCAGTTCGCACATGACAATGGCACAGGATTGATGCAAATAGTGGCAAGTGCGGTCGTGGATGCCGTGCACTGTTCCTGCTGGTGGTGGATGCTTCAGACGGGCCAGTTATTCCTCACGTCTTAAAGATCAATCGGGACATGTCAAAGAGGAGGGTCAAGAGTGAGGACATGTCAAAGAGGAGGGTCAAGGGTGAGGACATGTCAAAGAGGAGGGTCAAGAGTGAGGACATGCCAAAGAGGAGGGTGAGGAGTGATGTGATCCTCAAAGGCGGCTAGACAACGGAGTGACAACGTGCTGGTGGAAAAGCAAGGATGCGTCAGAACGAAATGGTGACAGCTATTTATCGAAACTGTGCTGGTGACTGTATATCTGACAGGCCAGGCGCCAGTGGCACTGGTAGCATCTGGGGGCCTGGGACCACACCGCGTGCCATTTCTTTCTTCCAAGTAGAGTCCCTCTCTGATGAATTGTTTCACAGCTTCCAGGACTGCCATACTTGGTATTCATCTTTTGCGATTCCATTCTCGTCAACTGTACATCCCATGCCTCTGGTCACTGGGATTTTTCATGCTCTGTTTGTTGCAAACATCGTCAGTTCGACAACACATCTCATCCGGCAACTGCAGTGTGGAAAGCAGTCCACCCAGTGCGATGGTGTGTGTCCCAATGTAACAGGATGACACAGCAGAAATTGCTGCAGATGTTGCAATCGCACACTTGTAGTTGCTGCATTTGACAAGCGAAATGTGGGTTCAGTGGTGAAGCACTTCAAAAAAGGAGCGGACATCTGACTGTTGTCGAAATCTTGTGCGCAACGGCTCAGGTGAGCTGCTTTCATGACCTTGAACTGCGCAGGGAATCCTTTGTGTGTTGTGTGGGCATCGTCTTTGCTTTCGCCAGTCCGCATCAATACATGCCTGGGCGTTTAATGGTACCATTGGGCAATGAACAGGTAGAGTGAGCAAGCGCCCATCTTGACAAAAGATTCCAGACATGTTTTCTGTTCCTTGTTTTCGGTTCAAAACGATGTGCCGTCTTCTCCAGGCTTTTAGGATGGCTTGCTGAACTGGGAGACTGGCTGAGCAAGGCTCAATGACAGACAACATCTTCATCCATGTTCTTTGCACTCACAACATCCTACCACCTGCAATTTCTGCCCACGCCTGTGCCTGACTTGGCGCCAGCAGGAACGTAGACGTCGTACAGCATTGCAAAAGTTGGGAATTCTAACACAAGGGCACTCAAGCTGAACAAGACAATGCGATTCAAAACATAGTTTGCGTCGCTCTTGAGCATAGTGTTTGTATCTTGAAACCAGCTGTGGCCTCATAATGGTATTACATTTGCCTCAAACATAGGGGGCGATTTGTACTGGAGGAATGCAAAATGGGGTTCGAGGTTTCTTCCAGCTCTGCACAAGCCTGTGCCAACATTTGGGACACTGTTGCGCACACACGTGATGCAGCTCTTCTGACAGACTGCTGTGCTTGATCTGCAGTTTGTCGTGGTGGCATTGCAGCGCCAGTGGCGTTGAAGCGAAAGTAAACAGTGGATGGTGAACAAAGGACCGAACGCGCTGATGTTGGGACCAGAGAGCTGCAGTGTTGCTAAGACACGTCTGCTTATCTGGTTGGAAACAAGTCTGAACAGGTGCAACACAGGCGAATCCAGGAAATCAGCAGTTTGAAAACAGATCTTGCTCTCGGACCTTGTCTTGGAGGTGGGATTTATGGAGATCATGTGCATTTGTGTGCTGTCTAATGCCTGACATCACCTTCCAGGTGCAGTGTCTGCGCTTTTCCCTTGTTGTAATCCAGTATTTACACACACAAACATGCACAGAGCGAGCAACAGGATTCTCAAGCTTGCTAGAGGGTGCCGAGCGATGGCCCAATTCTTTGCTTTCCCACGCATTCTGCCTTGCAAACGGCATCAACTTGACAAAAAGCTACAAAAGCGTTGCGACCTGGTGCAATTTCCCGGGTCGGCCAATAGCTCAGGGGAGGCCGTGATCTCCACGGACCAGTGCCGATGCATGGCTGAGTCCGTTGGGACAGTGAACAAGTGACCTGGTGATCGCCGGGAAACATCCTCAGGGTGTCACACGAGCGCATCATAGAGCCCAAATGGCACGGATGGCCCTGTCAAGCTGATGTTTGCCTCAAGCAACATCCAAGCAAAGCTCCTTCCAACGTTGCCCAGATTTCAGACCTGGAGCCGTTCACGGATAAGCCTGTGGTACTCAATGGTGAGTCATTAACCTTCATGTGCATCCGCCTCAACTCCCAATCCCGTCAGTACCCTTTGTTGCCGCGTATCCTGGAGCGCATGTCGACCTGGGACCGCTTGCACGAGAAGTACGCGTTCCGAAACTTGGCACACTCCTCCACTTTTAGGCAGCCCTTGGCGTCCTTTGACTTCTGTCGCACAGCGGACAACCTTCAGGGGGCAATCAACAGCCAGGCAAGGAATCAAAACATCCAACTTCACCCTGGCGGCAACCGCTCGCCTTCCTGGTCAATCAGAGGAGCGGGCGAAATTCTGTGGTGCATCGCCCGGCATCCACTCGGCCAGCAGATCTTTGCTTGGGCCAAAGGACGATACGCATTTCGGCTGTAGCCATTCACGCCGGTGTTCTCGTGCCTCCGGGCAACATGGACACAGCGGAGGCCAGTGGACTCGAGAGCCGTCGGCGCTACTTTGCGATCGCCACCTGGTAGCAGTCAGTGTCCAGCACACACTTGACGAGTTCTTGCAGCAGGCCCTTGCAGGACTTGGACATGTGCCCCGACGACAGGTGGAGGCCGACCCCGCACCCTCCTCGCGCAACACGCGCGCCGGGGGCCAGTTGTGCCGTATTTGTGCATCCGCACCACCCTAAACCCTAAACCCTAAACCCTAAACCCTAAACCCTGGACCCATAACCCTAAAACCAGTGGTGGGAGTTTTCGACCAGTTAGGACTGAGATCGGTGAGGGGAAAAGTGGCCAGCCCTGCGCTTTGGAGGCGTCTCTGGCGGTGTCGGCCAGCGCTGCGGCCAGTTGCCCGTCTTGCGGCCGTGGGGCCAATGGCGCAGGACGTCGTGCGGATCGGCATCGGCCTCGTGGGGCCCGGCACCGTGGGCGGCACCCTGCTGCGCCAGATCGCCCGGCAGGTGTGTACCCGCGCAGCGAGTGCCCCCATTGCGGACAAAACCCCGCGCGCCAGTTTGCTCGATTCGTCCCTGGCCGTCAGCGTTGGAGCAAACCAGGTTCGGAAGAGCTGAGCGGCCCGTGTGCTCGGGGCAATGGGGGTGACACGCTGTGTTGGAGTTGATCGCGCACTCGCGCATTCGTTGAATGTTGTCTCCTGCTTGATCTCAGGCGCCCGCCGTGCTCTCCACGAACAAAGCCGACCTCCGCGTGCTTGGGATCACCAGCTCAAGGAGAATGGTCTTGTCGGACTCGGGGATAAATCTGCATGGGTGGACGGAGATATTTGAGTCGAAGGTGAGTTAAGGTGACATACGCGCCGCCGTGGCCCTGTTGCCCACTGTAAATGTTGCGCCAGATGTTGCTTTAGATCCTCTCTGGGCATTTCCCCAAAGCGAGAAGGAGACTCCCTTGCACTTCCCAAGACAATAACATTTCCATGGCCATCAATGGCCACAGTACTTGCTGCGCAATCTTGTCTACCGATCATCGCATTTATCCAGAACCCAGATGTTTGGTATGCCAAGTGCACTTGACGGTTACCAACACCTCCGACTCCCTCAGTTGATTTGATTTGACGTGGAAGTGACGACTGTCGGCACAGACGCATTGATTGCCATGGCTGACTGCTATTTCGGCACTGATCTTGACGCTGGCCCTTGTGATGTTTGGAATACACCCCCATTCCCTGCGGGGACATCTCAGCTATGATGGTTTAGCCGGACAGAGTCTGTGGTCGAATATTGAGTGTGAATTGGAGAGTCATAGGTTCGAATGACCTTGGCATATTCTGACATGCAACACACAGCTGTCCGAACCACTCTTCTTTATTCCACAGTGCAACATCATATAAAGACTGGATGGACAAGTCACCAAACTTGTACAAGGTATCTTCACTGCGCCAGCTTTTCTGTTGGAAGATCCTTTATCTCGAGGCTGGCCCCCATTTGCTGTTCATGTTATAAAATGCCTTAATACCGTTTTCACTGCTGATGGCATCCTGTTGAACTCAGATTTTTGTCCGGTCCTTCTTGTACATTTGGTGGATCGTGCACCTGTCTTGCTCAACCACTTCTCTCTGCAGGAGGTCATCCACTGTTGAATCCTGCTTTGATTGGAGCAGTCCCAAAGAATAGAACGCTGCCCCTGTCCCCAAAAGACAGTTCTGGGAATTCTGTCGTCGACGCCATTTCCCAAAAATAAATGAATGACTCACACCACCTTGCAGCACACACTTTCCTGTGCCTTGTGCCTTCCTGTTGCACTCAAAGTTCTTCCAGGCGTGGAAAGGAGTTTGGCAGACACAGGTCAGGAAGTATCAGGCATATGCAATGCAATGCTCTACTTTTGCTGCAAAGTCCACACTGACGGCTGACAACCAGGCATGAAAGTAAGGAATCGCAAATTCCCGAGTGTGAAAGAGTGGCAGCCTCCTGTAGGACCTGTTCTTACCCTTGGAAATCCTAAAGTGGCTGATGGCATGACGCTTTTGTGACTTGCCAGAGCAGTCTGTGTCAGCTGACATGGAGAGTTTCTTGAGCCATGTCGCTGGCTGTGACGGCTATCACCATGTTCTTGTCGACTGCACTGCAAGCGATGCCGTTCCCCTCCACTACAAGGACTGGATTCTGAAAGGGGGCCATGTGGTTGCCGCCAACAAGAAGCTGGGTGCAGGTGCCCTGGACGTGTACAAAGGAGTGAAGGAGAGTTGTGACAAATGCGCGGCCACCTTTCTGTATGAGGTGAGCAGTCTCTTGATTGCGTGCTGTTTTATGGGATGCTGGTGGACATGTTGGCACAGTGAGAACGGTCCTCCTATCTCAGCCCCCTTTGTGCGGTTGTGGGCAGAGGTGGCACTATGCGAATCGTGCCTGATTGTGAGCAGTTTGGTTGTGAATCGTCCAGAGTGCGGAAATTGCGAATATGTTGAATATGATAAATTGCGAACACACGTATCACCAGTGCGACGCATTACACAGAATCTTGTTGCATCCCTGGTTGACGTTGCTTTGATTATTCCAGTGCCTAATCCATGATTTTTCGCCTGTGACAGGCCACTGTGGGGGCGGGAATGCCAATAATTTCAACGCTGAAGGGAATGCTGGACACGGGGGACCAGGTCCAACGCATTGAGGGCATCCTCAGTGGCACATTGTCGTTCATCTTGAACACACTTTCTGAACGACCCGGCACGTCTTTCTCAGAGGTCGTGTCACAAGCAAGGAAACTTGGATTCACAGAGCCCGATCCAAGGGAGGACTTGTCAGGTACAGAAGGAGGGCACTGTGCGTTGGCTGGTTGTGAGCATCCATTTATTGCAGCTGATGCCTTATAATCGATTTGAACACCCTTCTGGGCAATAAAGGTACAAGTCATAGCACTTGTGGCATTGGCCTAAGTTACACTGAATAAGTGTTCAGCATTTTGGTGTGATGGTATTTGGTTAATTATTCACAATCTTTTCGAACGCCAATTAATATCTACTACATTGCCGTTGTTTGAGGGCAGACATCCCGCTTGATGTGGAAGCATGCATTGGGCACGTGTTGAAACGCACCAAAGCAATGCCACTGCACCTGTTGGGTGCTGCCAGGGTTTGTCCATATACACGAGTGTTTGCTATGCCAGAGTTTGTCCATATACATGTACGGTGCTGTGTGCCTGCTGTCATTGTGCATTTGGCATTGGCAGTGTGATTGGCACGCAAGCAAAGAGAATGCCCTGAGGACATTTGCATCAATCTGAAGCTGTCAGGTAGCTACATGTGTCAAAGACACAACAGAGCACTGCCCTTGCACCTGTCGGGCAGTGCAGGGCATTGTGCAGAGCAACAGAGAATGCCCCCATGCGAGTTGTGCCCTTGGTCGCACTAGCCTCCCCAAAGAAATGCCAGTGTCTGAAGAGAAGTTAGATCTTCGTGCTCAGCGTGGAAAGGACGTCAATGGGAGGAGCGCAGCCCACGTTACATGACGCTTCCCGTTTTTCATTAAGACCATGCTGCGCCACCATGAGTCTTGCCCTCCCAGGATGGATCGAGATTTTGCATCTGCCGCAGGGGCTGACGTTGTCCGCAAGGTGGTGGTCCTCGCTCGAGACTGTGGCCTGGATATAAGTGCTGAGGACGTTCCTGTGGAAAGCCTTGTACCCAAGGAACTGCAAGCTGTCAAGTCAGTGGAAGAATTCATGGAGAAGCTGCCGCAGGTGCGAAAATGATGCTCTCATTCCTGTGCTTGTTTTTTGCAAGTGTGGTCCCGAATTCCCTCGGGAGCTGCACGCCTATGTATAGTTTACCTTCCTGTGAGCAGAACCAGACAGATCACGAACAATAATGTTTTAGGTGTTTCATGTCTAGGCTTCCAAGGATGTGCAGAGAAGTGTGTGGGCAGCTGCAGTTTGCAACACAGCCTGCCGTTCACACCCCTGTTGCGCTTGTTGCAGATGGCAGATCGGTATGCTACGCTTCGATGCTGGCCTGCCTCGATCCTGAGAAAGAAATATATTAATATGTGAACAATATGAATAAATATATCTAATCTGATGAATGCACTGAGCACAACGAATGTGCAGAGATTCCCGATTTAATGTGCAAGCTCGAAAGCACGGATTCTTCAGGTTCATGTTCCGATGCATGTGTGCCCTTTCAGTATGATGACCTCATGCGGTCAAGACTCGAGTCTGCGAGGGCTGCAAACGAGGTTCTACGGTGTGTTGGCATAGTGGATATTGAAAAGGCATCCTGTGCGGTTAAAGTCGAGAGGTAATAGCTGCTTCATGGATGACTTCTGGAGCTGCGATGGCCACCCTTGTTTCTTGCAAAGCTCCCTTGATGACGGGGCCGTGCGCGCTGTCCTGGATGAATGAATAAAACAATCGAAATACCGTAACTAACGAATATAACAATCGAAATACCATGAGTGAATGCATAAAACAATCGAAATACCGTAAACGAATGAATATAACAATCGAAATACCATGAATGAATGAATAAAACAATCTAAGCACCTCTCAAAGGATGTTTCGACAAGTTTGTGGAGGTATGCGTGGTGCTTGTGGGGTCTGTTGGCTGTTGACAGCGTTGGCAATGTTCTCTAAGCCTGTGCTGTTCGCAAGCAATTTCCTTCCCAGAGGACAGGTTTCGGCCCTAGGCGGTTCAGCCATCAACATGTACTCTGAGGTCGCTACGGTTTCCCACACCGTTTGGCGGCCTGCGGTGACTGTGGTTGTGTAAAGAAATGTCCGGCATCCTGAAGAGGAATGATCGGTTGTGCTGTGGTGTTAGGTATCCGTCCAGCCACCCCTTCGCCGGCATTTCTGGGACGGACAACATTGTGCAGTTCACGACCTCTCGGTACTCACCCCGTCGCTTGGTCATCCAAGGCCCAGGAGCTGGTCCGGAAGTCACGGCGATGGGCGTATTTTCGGATTTGCTGGCACTTGCGCACAGCCGCGGAGCGCCCCTGTGACCCCTGTTGACAGGAACACTCCCAGGGACTTTGGCCCAAGACTGATGTACTGTTCAGACGCAGGGTGACGGTGTGCACACGCTTTGGCAATGTGGCTGGAGACACCATGGAACTCTTTGGCTCCGGGTTTTCCCCTGTTCCCGAGCCAACATGCGAGGCCCATTCATGAATTCGATGCTCCTCCCCAAGGCCATCCATATCAAGTTTGGCAGTGCTTGGCAGCGTGGAAGGCAGACTCGGGCACGTGCTGATTCGGAGCTCGGCGTGGACAGCCGCTCGTCCTGCTCACTCAAGGGGCTTGAATGTGGCCAAGACAGCTGTTTTGCGTCTCCCAAGCGGAAGGACACCGGGAATGAAGCATGTACTTCCAGCGTGCGGAAACAATGTGTGTGGTGATACCCTGCTGGCTGGCACAGACGCAGCTGCAATGGGGCAGATCGCATGTTGTCCCTATAATTTTCCGTCATTCTTTTCAGAGGCGTGTTTGAGGTGGGACAGGCTTACCTTTTGCGGTGGGCATTATCTCAGTACCCGCAGAAGGCTTTAAGAAAGAATTTAAGAAAGAAGAAGGTAGTCCTCCCAAGCCAGCCCCCTGACAGATTACCCTTCCCTATCGCCCCCACACGACGCGGGACGCGCTCTTGCAAAGAGGCCCAGCAAGTTCGCGCAGCCAGTGTCCATCACAAGCAACGGCTTGATGTTCAATTAACCATGCAGAAAGCGACACAGAAGTCTCGAAATGGATGAGGACAAAATCGTGGCAGCACAAACCACCCACTGGGTGGCTTCACAGCGCTGGCAGCGTTGCACGCTCGCATTCGGTAATTCCATGCATCCCAACACGACACTCGCCCGTACTCTGGGTGTTTTATCTGAAAACGAGCTATCCGCTGGCAGGTTCCCATGGGCAAGTCAGGGGGGGGGATAGGCGAGTTTGCCGGGCGCAGGGGCTGTCGGTTTTATTAATTGCAGCTGTTTGAAATCAATCTACAACCACACCAGTGAACAAGTGTGAGTCATTTCACATTCCACAGAACACTTCGACAAAAATCCAAGGTCCAGGACCTCTAACTGCTTGTGAGAAATAGGACCCGGAAGTGATAGTTCAGATTGCAAATCAAGAGCAGCATGACAATTAACTGGATCACAAATTTTCAAAACAAGCCAACACCAAAATTCTTTAACCCTCCAGCACACAGCACACTGCGAACACAAGTTTAAGGGCGGAGGCCTGGCCCATCCGCCCTGTAAAACAGTGCTACCTTCGCAATAATCCACAAGTGAAAACGTTGATGCCTTCCGAATGCTGGGGAAAGTTGGCAATCCAACTTGTGATTTTCCTACCAGAGGCGAACGCAGACAACTGTTACTGCAACACCCGAGTTTGGGCTGAAGTTGGCAGCCCCACCGGGTATCGCATGGTCTCCCAGGAAGAGTATTGGCATCGGCCAACGCACAAAAGGGCAGTGCTCTGTGGCGTTCTTGACAGAGCTAATAAGCGAGCACGACTGCAATGCCGTGGCATCCCGGTTCTTGCCAGCTGGCACAGGTCCCCACAACTGATTCACGTGTGCTTCCTGTGCAGCTGTCACAATTGAACCGCCAGTGGCTGTAACACAGGTGCCAGGCAACACCCTTGGTCGAAGTGGCTTTGCTAGTCACTCCCATTCTTCAGTGCGACTGAAACAGCAGCAGAGAATGGGAACTCCGGACCAGACACGCATAACATCGACACCATCCACAACCGTGATGCAGGAACAAGTTAGGCACAAACTAACAAAGGCAAACAGATCTTGGAGGAGGGGGACCGCATCAAATCGTGCTTCTTTGCATCTGTAAAACGTTGAGCAACGATTGCAGAATCCTTAGCATGTGGTACCTGCTCAAGGGCAATACAGTACATTTGTACCCGGCAGGCGATGATGGGCATGTGTGCATCAACAACATTGATAGCTTTGCAATGACATGTTGAGCATTCTGCAACGAGTTGGGCCAAAGGAGCAGCCGACGTGCAAACGACAAGTCTCAATCAAACATGGAAACGTCACGACTTGAAAAGGTGTTTGTCTTGAACAAAATGTGCACACAACATCTGTGCGGGGCAGCCACCCGAGCAGGTGTCAGCTGCACTCAATGCTCGGCCATGCGCGAAGTCAGTCTCAACTGCACAGGGTCAGTTCGAGCAGAAAGTCGAGCAACAATCACTGCGCGTCTGATCTCAGCAAACCAGACTGAAGTCACAGCGCTAGTATTCATCCTCACAGAGCCACGGCGCCCCGTGTCTGCGCTTTCGGACACAAGTTTGCGCCTCTGTGTGTGTCGAGTCAACGGGCGAGCGGTCCTCTACGCGCACCGCCGCCCCTGCCCAGCAGAGTCCCGAACGAAGACGCCAGCCGCCGGGCTGCCGACCTGCAAGGAATCACGCCACCCACACGTGATCACGGGGCCATTCCCTTCCCCCCACCACATCCGTGAGATCGGTGGCGCCCCGGCTCAGTCCGCCCCCGCCCTCGCTGGCTCTCGTCCCCAGGACACGTCCAAGATTCCGGAAACGCAGCACCTAATTTTGGGCTGGAGCCGGGCGCTTGGCAGGCGGCCAGCCGCCCCGCCCCTCCGATCACCGCCGCACGGCCGACGCCTGGGCGTTGCAGATCTTCACGAAAGCCCCCCCGTTCAGGGACGCTCCGCCCACCAGGAATCCGTCGATGTCTGGCTGCCCGGCCAGCTCCACGCAGTTGGCGTCGTTGACAGACCCGCCGTATAGGAGCCTAAGCGAGGCCGCCACGGCCTCCCCCGACCGCCCGCCCACCCACGCCCGCAGGAAGGCGTGCACCTCCTGCGCCTGCGCCGGCGTGGCCACCACACCCGTTCCTATCGCCCACACGGGCTCGTAGGCGATCACCACCCGGGCCCAGTCGCTGGCGTTTTCGGCGATCGCGCCCATCTGCTCCTCCAGAACGGCGAACATCTCCCCGGACTCCCTCTGCGCCAGCGTCTCCCCAATGCAGGCGATCACGCGCAGCCCCTGGGCCAGCGCGTGGCCCACCTTCTTGCCCACCGTCGCGCTGTCCTCGCCGCACAGCGCCCGCCGCTCCGAGTGGCCCAGGATCACCCACGGCACCCCGCAGTCGGACAGCATCTCGGCGGACACCTCCCCCGTGAACGCCCCCCCTTTGCCCAGCCAGCAGTTCTGGGCAGCGATCTGGTAGGGCGGCCGCAGCGAGCGGGCGACCTGATCCAGGTAGACGAAGGGAGGCGCGCAGACGACCTCGACGTCCTCAGGCACCGTGCCCGCGTTCAGGTCGTCCACCAGCCGATCGACTCCCTGTCGCCGTTGCACTTCCAATTCCCGCCCACCAGAAATCTCGCCGTGCTCTTCATGGTGGTGGCGGTCCGGACGGGGCCTTGCTTGATCCCCCGGTGGGGGAAGCGGAACAGGCGGGCGCCGCCGCGCATCAGCGCGTTGGCGATGCGCGCGCCGGGCAGCGAGCCCAGGGCGCTGGCCGGGGCCATGACTGCCGCCGGGCGCACGGCGCTCGGCCTCGCCCCCTTCGCCTCAGGCGCCGGCAGAGCTCGGGAGCCCGAGCGGCGCAGCGGAGCCCGGGCGACAGGCGCCCCGGATCTACTAAATGGCGCGCCTGGCGCGCTGGGCGCTGGTCCCCGGAGCCCAGGCTGGTTGAGCAGGTCAAAAATGGTCAAATGAGTGTTACCGGCGTGGCCATTCACATGCCTCCACCCGCCGCCTCCAAGCCCACAGTTTCTGTCACGCTGTTCTCTTCGGGGCTCCCATTTCGGGTGTTCCTTTCGGCCGGCGCTGGGAGCGCGCGGTGAAGCGCACCGGCGCACACTTTTTCTTCCGGCCGATCGCCGGTCGCGGGCGGGATCGGCATGGCCGGGCCGTCTGGCTCCGTGGACCTCGTGCGCCGGCTGGTGGACAGGGCGGTGTCCGGCATCCCCGGCGGGGAGGACGCCGCATCCCGCAGGCACCTGCTCAGCCTGGCGCTGCGCCTGCTGGGCAGCGGCGTCGGCTTGGCGTCGTCCCCCCGCGACGAGGTGTCGGTGGCGGAGTCGATCCGGGATGCCGTCCGCGGATCCGGACAGGGTGGGCGGGCTACGCGGTTCGACGAATTGCATGCCGGGCTGATGGGCATGGGGCTGGAGGCGGAGTTCAGGACGCGCGTGCTTGCCATGCTGCTGCTGGTGGCCAGAGACAGGGGGCGGGTCGGGGTTCTGAGGGCGGAGACCTCCCTGCGGGCGTCCTGGGTGGCCCAGGACGCCGGCGGCCTTAGGGCCCTGCGGGTGCCGATGGCAGCGATCGACGCCAACGCGCAGCCCCCGCTGCCGGCCGCCCCCCGGCAGCCGCGCGCGGCGCCGCAGAAACAGCTGGCGCCCGCGCTCGGCGAGCCGGACGTGCCTCTTAACTTCGGCGTGAACGAGCCATCCCTTGTGCGGGACGTCCTGTACGTGTGCCAGGGGATCGACGGCGCCCACGTGCGGTTCGACCCCTACGGGGAGCCGGGAGGGGGATTCATGATCAACCCCGAGGCGGCGGTGTCTCCGGTCCAGGCCAAGCTGATCCTCCGCCTGTGCGAGCTGGGCTGGCTCTTCAGGCGCGTGCACGGCTACCTCCACGGGAGGTGGGGGCGAATGGGCGGCGCCGTGCGCCAGGCGCTGGGCTACGCGGTCAGCAAGGAGCCGGCGGACTACTACAGGCTGATGGCCGTGCTGGAGGCGCAGCTGGACAACCCCATGCCCACGGCGCTGGACCACGGGGCCGGCGAGAACGACCCCAGGGGGCATTTGTCCAGGCCCAACAGCGCCGGGGGGGGCCCGGGGGGCCCTTACCTCAGCCTCAGGAGGCTGGCAGTGTGGCTGGCGGAGCCCATGAGGCGGATGCGGCTCCTGGGGGTGATCATCGACAGCACAAGGGACAAGAGCGGGGGGGAGTTGGCGGGGGCGGTGTACTCGTATCTCCACCAGGGGGACCCCACCACGCACGCGTTTACAAATCGGATGCTTCAGCGCGTGCGCGTGCCCGTGCTTGACATGATCAAGCAGTGGGTGTTTGAGGGGGAGCTGTATGATCCGTACGGGGAGTTCTTTGTGCGGGACGCTGCAGAGAGCCTGGAAGAAGAGGGGGGCTCCGCCCCCTTGCTGGACCTGTGGCGGGAGGGGTACCGAATCGATCACGCCATGCTGCCGGCGTACATAAGCGAGCCGCTAGCCAGGCAGATCCTGCGGGCTGGGAAGACGATCAACTTCCTGAGGGAGCGGTGCCAGGACGGGGAGTGGGTGCAGGAGAGGGCCACGGAGGCCCAGGCGTCCGGGATGGTGTCAGCGGCGAATGGCCAGATGGAAGGGCTGCAGGGCCTGGTGGACGGCGCCTCGGCGAGCGTGGACCAGCGGCTGCTGGACATCCTGTTCCAGAAGTACTCTTTCAGCCAGCACTGCGAGGCGATGAAGCGCTACCTGCTGCTGGGCCAGGGGGACTTCATCCAGGCGCTGATGGACCTGCTGAGGCCGGAGCTGGACAAGGAAGCCAAGGCTATTTCGGAGATCACGCTGATTGGGCTGCTGAAGTCGGCCGTGCACGCCTCCAACGCCAAGTATGAAGACGACGACGTGCTGGAGAGGCTGAGGGTCAGGAAGGACAAGGGGATCGGCAGAGACACGGGCTGGGACGTTTTTTCCCTTCAGTACGACATGCTTCAGCCCATGGCCACCATATTCACGCCCAGCGTGATGAACCAGTACTTGAGGGTGTTCAGGCTGCTGTGGAAGTTGAAGCATGCCGAGCACACGCTCGCGGAGGCTTGGCACACGCTGAAGCTGCTGGACAGGGTCCTGAACACGTTCGGGCCAAAGTCAGGGGACCGCGCCAGGTCGCTGCTCAGGCTGGGCCTCAAGCTGAGGAGCAAGATGTCCCATTTTGTCACCAACCTGCAGTACTACGTGATGTTCGAGGTGCTGGAGGGGGCTTGGGGGGAATTCACCCAGCACGCTCATTCGGCCACTGACCTGGACGAGTTGATCGCCGCACACGAGCAGTACCTGGACGCCATCCTGACTCGCAGTCTGCTGATTGGCGATGTGGCGAAGATCCACATGAAGCTTGAGGAGATCTTCAGCTGCGTCTTCCGGCTGCTGGGGGTTGTCAATCGACTGAGCACAGAGGTGGAGACGGCGGCCCAGGTGCTCAAGGCCCAGAAGCAGAAGGTGCAGCGCAGGACAAGGAAGGGTGGGTGGGGGATAGGCAAGGGGGATGCAGTGCCTGAGAAGGACATCCCTGAGAAGGAGTATGCGGACATCAAGCGAGTCGCTGATAATGTGGGCCTGGAATATGAAGTGCTGTTGAATCAGTTCACAAAGGACCTGCCGGTGCAGGCACTGTCGGACCTAAGGTTTTTGGTGTTCAGGCTGGACGTCACAGAGTTCTACACAGAGGCAGGTGCCGAATCCACCCAGGACGATGAGTTTGACGGGTGATGGATCGGTGCTTTGTATGCCTCGGATGGAACCAAGGGGGGATATAGAGGGCATGCAACTGGCCTGGTGGTGTCGGCCCCCTTCAGTGCCATCAGCGTGTAGGCTAGGATTCAGTTGGTGTATTGCCAATGTGTGTGTGGGGAAGTGAATTATAGTGTGGTATGCAGACTATTATGTCGGCGTTCAGGTTGTACTGGCAGCGAAATAAAGAACTTTGGAAAATGTAGGACCACGCTTGTGCAGTGTTGATGCGCTGGTTGGTGACCTGCAAGTTGGGCTGCAAAGATGTGGCAAGAAAGTGGATACAAGAAAGCAACAGACTATGAGGACCGTCGATTCTTACACCGCCTCCCCGACTTGTAGATTCTCAGCAAGACGACAACGCTGTGGTCATCTGTTTAGATACAAATTGAAGCAGGGGCCCATGGTGGCAGTCATTGCTCGCCTATTTTGTCCCGTTGAAAGTAACATTTGTTCCAATTGTTGCATTCTGTCGTTTTGTCTCAGTTTGTTTCATGCTTTGCCATTGTGGCCTGTCTTGCTCACACTGATGCCCATGGCCCCACGATGTGCATATCGGCATCATCTGGTGGCACTTTGCAGAGTATCTGAGCAAGCCAGAACATGTGGCCCGGGCCAGAACATGTCGTTGCAAGGGAAGACACAACGAGACCGAACCCCTGCGCAAAGCTTGCGAATGAGAGCCTATTCAGGTCCCCGTATCAGTCGTTACAGGCACAAGATTGGCCATCGTTTCTCTGTCTCAGCTGCTCCACCTTGGCGCATTCGCCACCATCATATGGTAGTCGGGCTGCTCCAACGATTGTGCTCAGTTGTGCCATTGTGGCACAACGTGCCCGATCTAACCAGCTGGACAAAATGATGCTGTTGCCCGCTGCATTGTCATTCCTGCACTCCTGGAGTAGGGTGGCCACTAATGGATGACCCTTCATGGATGCAGAGGCTTCACGCATAGTTTTCATTATGGATTGTACCCAATTTTATCCCAGCGACAAGTTTCGCATGAACTTCATGGGCCTTGGGTCACACTTTGCCTCTTTCAAAATTTCCTCAGCTGCTCATGATGCGTCCACCAGTCCCCACTGCCACATTTTACTTTGTGCAATCGCTACAGCAACAGCTTGGCGTTTTCCACTGTTGAGAAACGTGTTGGGCGTGTCGTGGACAGATCTCCACTCAATACAATCTCCATATGCAGCCTTCCAGGGTGTTCTTCTTGCCCATTAGCAATGTTAAGCGGCTATCATGCAGACTTCCGACTCGTATGGTGTGTCGTGTCAACCAGCCGGTCACCAAACTTCAGGCAGAGTGTCCTACACTATGCACTGGAGCTACACCCAGTGCAGAGACAACATGACTAACGGTGAATGTAAGAGGCGCGACAGACTCGGCAATGCATACACGCCTCCGCAAAGACGCGCTACCCCAGGCACCCTTGGGCGTGCATCGGAAATGCACGAGGGACTTGTTGTGCCAGAGACGAAAAGTTGAGTTACATGCTGCCCTTAAAATTGTGGCAATGCCGCGCGCAATGCCATTTCCGGTTTTGGTTGCACAGTTCCTTCTCACACAATCCTTCACATGGGCACGTGGCATTGCACAGCATCATTGCGTGGCGCCTGGAGTGGCGTCCAGTTCTTCAGGCTCAAAGTCCATGAACACGTTGGGGTCCACGAACACATACACACGCTGCCCAACGTCGAAGTCGAGACTGCCTCCCTCGTTGCTGTCCTCTCTGCTCGCATGGAGTTCCACTTCCTTGGCACAGAAACCATGCGTCAAGCCGCAGTGCATCTGGGCGGCATAAGGCGGGGCTTGCACCAACCAAGGATCTTGATGATCCTATTTCTTGAATAACAACAGACGAAGCTACAAGGGCAACTGGCACAATGCTGCATTGAACTTTTGTTGCATTTGCGGCCACTCACACTGAGCAGCGATTTCTGGACATCTTTCGCTGATAGAAGATTCCGTATCCTTCTCTATACATACCACATACTCAATGGAGCCCCCCGCACAGCCGAGCCAAAGAGCCTACTTGAACGTTCTTCTCACTGGACACACACTCAGCTGCCTGTCCGCTAGCGCTCCCCCCCCCCCTACCCCCCGTTATGTGCATTCAAGGCTTGAAAGGGTGATTGCCTGTCTGACTGGATGCAAGCGAGCTGATCTCAAATTCGTTGGCAAAAAGGTGGCCATGCCATCATATTCATGTTGAATTCACAAACATCAAAGTGACCCTCAGACACGTATACGACCATTCATTCTCAGGGCAAGGGATTCGAGGTTGCGAGCACATTGGGAGGATAATTACCGGCACAGAATAGCGTTGCATCACTGCGCAACGTTGACACTGCACATGGCCAGATCAACAATTGAAAACAGCAGCAGCAAAGATAGAACGGCGCACTCACCACCCCGTCGTCAAACTTGACCGAGTACTTGACCATGAACCCAATGTTGTACCGTTCAGCGACAGTCGCTGGCGCGAGCGGACCTGGCGCATTCATGTCTGTGTGCACGACCATGTCCTTGGGCTGAAACATGGCCATGGACTTGTGTGTGGAGTACTTCATTCGCCGCAGCAGCTGTTCAAGCAAGAGCCCAAACTTCAGATAGAAACTCTGCATGTAGGTGGCGTTGCGTTCCAGTCACAGGCCGCCCTGCCAGAACCCATTCTTGTCGGCTCAAAGGGCTTACAAGGGCATTTCCACAGCACGAATTCAATTTTTTCACGCTCAAAACTCGCAGCTTTCTGGAAAGTAAGCGTGGCCCAATGGCCTGACGTCCCCATGAATTGAAATGCTCAAAACCAATTTGGCTGGTGTCGGCAATGGTACAGGAGTATGGGTGCATAAAAATGCAGCAGGGGCGACACTGGACGGAAGCCGCATGGAAAAGAGCCCCCGTCAGGTCACATCTCTGACAAAAAAGCATGCTTTTCCCACAGTAAAGTCCTTGAATAGAATTCTAGTTTCAAAAACATATACTGTGGCTATTTGTATGTCCTGATGCTTTTAGCTCTTTGCTGAGTATGTGAGGACATCAATAGCCTCATTTCGGGGCTTTGGGCATTTACAGCAACGAGAATTGCCTATTCAGCCAGCGTGATCACAGCACGACAAAAAACACAGCACTCTTCGGATGCCCTCTGTGGGCTTTTAAGAATAGCTTACCTGGCAGTTTGCCGGCACTTTGTTGACGTCATGAATAAAATTGAGAACGAATGGTGACAACGGATCCCGCTTGACGTCTTCTGATGCTCCACTTTGTGCGATTGAACCGCGATGGAAAATGGCAACTTCGTCCGCCAAATCAAATGCTTCATCCTGGCAAAAAATGTGAGAAACATCACAACAGCATTGCAACCAGCTCCTTGCTAGGATTGGATCCATTTTGTGTGAGAAACAAATGGCTGAAGAGACCAAAACGGCGGTTGTTGGTGCTATGTATCTGCCATTGCCAAACTCACTGCAGGGCTTGGTTGGCCATCCACGCCAAACGTGGCAGCAAACAAACAGGGAAGTGAATCACAGCAAAAACACTGCTTTCAGCATTGCTGAACTTGTGGAATAATCCGGCACAAAGAAATGACAGGCCATGCCCACACCTCCCACAATCCACCAATGTTCATATGTGACTGTGCGTACCTTGTCATGTGTCACAAAAAGGGTAGTAATCCCCAGCCGCGATATAATCTTCTTTAAACCTGCTCGCAGGTTTTTGCGCACCATAACGTCCAAGGCACCAAAAGGCTCATCAAGCAGCAATAACCTGCAATGCATGGGAAGCATCAGCACACCCAGCCCCAACCATTCATAACCATCTGAAAATGCACAGCCGCTGTGACCGACCTCTTGCCACATTTATTGCCCCATTATTCAAACAGAAAGTCGAGAACCCCAATCGTTGCAGCTCATGTGCAGCTCTCTATATGACAATACAATCGATGCACAAAAGTTCAACGCAAGTCTCAAGGCAGAAAGGCAGAATGAGAAAGTCCTGAGACTCTACAGAAACAACCTGAATCCAGATGCAAACACATAGTGCCTTGCTAGCACTGTGCGCAGGTTGAATGAGCAGGACTGAAGCAACATGCAAACTCTGGGGAAGGTAGGCCAGTAAGGATGGAATCTCAAATCAGTTGACAGATCGCAGCAGTGTCACTGACACGCAACAGCTGCCCGTCACCAATGCCAGCAAGCCATTTGCCCAACAACATAATCGTCACACACCAGATAGAGTGCAGAGCCCAAATATCAGATTTTCCACTGCACATATGCAAGAAAGGATGCTGAAAGGTCCTTCTTTGATGAACAACACAATACTAATGGAAAGAAACAGACTGAAGAGATGACAAGCAGCAGTGACTGTGCCCTAGAAGAGCACAATGCACATAGAACACTGCAAGCGGGCACTTTGTGCCCATCAAGGCCTTCATGCACTCTGCCCTTTTCAAGACCCTCTAGCGCTTTGCGCTTCTCATGCACTGTGTGCCCTGCTGATGTCTTTTGATGTCACAGGCGCTCCGCAGGTCAGACCTTAGAATGGAACAAAATTTGAATACCACCACTGTCATTAGTTCAAGCTTGAAGTGCTGTTGGCCTGGTCATTTGCCAGGCGCCCTGTGCAAAAAGTGGGCAGGAGGGAACCTTGCAACTTGCAGTGCTCACCTTGGAGAGTTTGCCAGTGCTCGCGCAAGAGCAATTCTCTGTCTCTGGCCACCAGAGAGCTGGGAAGGATACCGGTTGCCAATTCCGGGCAGCTCCACCAATTCCAGCAGCTCTTCAACCCTGTTAACAGATACAAAGCCCTGTGCTTGTAAAACCAACAATGACAGCCTTGTGAAACATGCACCTGCAGGTCTACACCTCTTCTCCACTGCGCCTGAGCTTTGGAAGGCATAGATGCCTGGCTGTGTCTCCAGGAGCCCTTCACCACACTACAAGAGTCTTGCAAGGGTCTGTAGTAGTGGCAACAGTGTGCGTGGTGCAAAGTTGGCCAGCTGCAGCGCTCATGACTACACAGGTAGAGACAGCAAAATGCTGAGAGCAGCACAACTAAAAAGCAACCACAATGGCCAAATTCTCAAATATGTAGGCAATCACAATATCCAACAGTTTCCAAGGAGTAATACCTCCAGGTTGCAGAGTGAAAGACTTGCAGGGTTCACCTCTTGTCTATGTCGACATCTTTCTTCCGTATTCTCAAACCAAATGAAATGTTATCTGCAATACTCATGTGTTTGAACATGGCATAACTCTGGAATACAAATCCCAGGTTCCGATCTTGCACTGGTACAGATGTCACATCGACACCTGCAAGGCAAGCACAGTAGCGCACAGGCAGAGCTCAGCGATGAATCAGCAAGTGATTGGTGGCCACAAGCTCAAAGCTCTTGTTCTGCATTCCTTTGTCATAACAACCACGACATGAAACACATATCCCCAATGAAAACACGTCAGCCCTGAATTAAAACTAAGGACATATTATCTCCAGGAAAATTGCAGACAAGATAATCACATCTGGCACTGCAACAACATTTGCAAGAACTACCTGTTAGGCTCAAGGGTATTGCTTTGTCATGTTTCGACACTAGTATTCAATGGGAATACTATGACACCACTGATCAGAGCTAGGCCACAATAGTGGCCAATTCCTATAAAGGACAAGTTCCTCGTGCACCTCATGCTGCAGAAGTGACAGCTGGTCGATGGGATTCGCATTTCCACAAAAGAGGGCTAAAACAAAGGTAAGTGACAGCTTTACTCCAGCAATCATCAGGATTGTCTAACAGAGATGACACTCAAGAGAAAGGGCCCCTCACCATCAAAGTACACTGCCCCTTCGGTGGGCTCCTCCAGGCCAGAAATGATTCGTAGCAGTGTGGTTTTGCCTTGTAGGGACACAGGCAACAGCAGCAAGTCACTTAACATTGGCGGGCAGCATGGGCACGTGAGCCACAGAGCATGGCATAGCAACATCATGGCAGAGCATGACAAGACAGCAGCCTGACAATATGACGAAGGGAATTCAACAAGTGAAAAATGGAGGATATGCATGAGAAAGCACTGCTAATCCAGAAATGGAGTAACACATTTCACTGCAAGAACTGCAAGCACAATGCAGCCACTCATCTCACTAGTCTCAGTGCCCCACCTGATCCAGAGGGGCCCAGCAGTGCAACAGTCGACTTGGGTTTGATTTTGATATCAACTCCATCAAGAGCTGTAAAGATTCCCTTCTTTGTCTTGAACAATTTCTTCAGTCCTTTCACCTGATCATGAGTTCACAAATTTTTGTTCATTTGTACCAATCCCACAGCAAAACGGAGACCAAGTCCCTCCCTCAAGCTCCAACGAATTCCGCAGAATGCAGTATGAATTCCAACAAACAGAAACTCAGAACCACAGAGGCAAGCCTGCCTGAACAGCTGTTCAGGAATAGTTCAGCATGGTTGTCCATCATTTTCTGGTCGTATCTGATGCATCTTGTACCTAAGCACAACAGGAAGCTGGTGGATATTGCCAGAGCTTTTAATGCCCAAAGCCAACTTCACACACCACAGTTTCAGTGCTTCTTTGCTGTTGACCACCAAAACATGAACAGATCCAGGAAAGGGCAATGCAGTCAACTCACTTCGAGTTCCAGTGCCTGCTCCTGTTCCTGTGAGCCTGGTACTGAAGCAGCAGACACCTCATTGCCCACACCATTTAATCTTTGGTCTTGCCCAAAATCCTGCGTGCACATAAGAACCAGGTAAGGGGCATTTACACCTTGAAATCTTGGCAAGTCAGTGTGGAGCAAAAGTTGTCGGCTGAGGCACCTCGTCATGTTAACGAAACTGCACTGCCAGATTCCCTTAACTGCACAACCAACATTCAGGCGCACCGCATATGGTCAGTGACGACTTGGTGGCAAAGGCAATGGTCACGGAATGGGGCTGTAGCAAGCGTGTGTGCGATTTGGAAAGGCGCAGTAGAGGCATTGGCACCCACGTTGACATCATTCACAGTTGCAGCTTCCACATCCGCTGAACATTGCGAAATCACCAGTTTTGCCCAAAAAACGCATGCATTGGCCAAGGCAATTTTGATCACCGTGACAGTTCTCTCTGGCAGAACGTCTGAAATGCGTCACGACTCTTGATGTGGATCCAAGCTGCCATTTCCCGTGATCAGTGCGCGCTGAGCAAGACACAGGCATGCAGTGGAGGGGACGGTGGCGTGCTGCCGATGCCATCGCACACCCTGCAACATGATCGACAACAACAGCGGCAAAAAAAACAAGGACTTCCGGCACCGGCAGACCTTCACGAGTCCTTCCCCCTTCGCCTCGGCGCTCTCCGCGGTGCTGGCGCCTGCGGCAGCCGCGCCCGCAAATCTGCCACACCCATGGAATAGCAACACCTTCAGGCGATGCGTGCCACTCGCCATCCCGAGGGGCAATCCCAAAACGGCATCACTGTGCCATATTAAAAATTCCCAAACTGCGGCAACCCCACACATTGCCCCCACCTTGGAGACTTGCTCGCGTGTGCTCCCGTTGGCAGCGCCTGTGCCGCGCACACCGTCGCGTCAGCTACAGATCCGCTAACCACGCCGCCGGGCCCCATCCAGAGCTTTTCTCGCAATTCGCGTTACCTCCACTGTATGCTCATCATCTCTCACTGGGATGGTCCGCATCATCATTCACATCTTGGGGAAAGGCCCCAAACACATTTTCCACGGAATGGGCGCCCTTTGCACGACCTGTTCCTTCTTCAACGGTAATGAATTGCATCCCATTCAGAAAACCGCGCCCCTACCTTTGGACGCACGGCGTGAGGCACCCCTCCCCTTCGCCAGGCGCCAGGGACCGCGGGTCCCTTGACGGGACCCGCCTTCGTTGGACTCAACACCTTCATGCCTGTCCGCGGGCCGACCAGACGCAGGCCGTGCACTGCAGAAGGCCGCAGCGGGGCCCGTTCCGCAGCCAGCTCCCCATGCACGATTTGTACGGCCACTTGACCAAATCGACTGATTGCATGATCGATGGAATGATGGAGTTGTGATGGAGTTACGATGGAATAACCGAATCGACCGTCGTCCCGCCGACGCATACGGAGTGCCCCGCGCCAAGCCCTGTGTGCAGTGCGGCTTTCGGCCCGCTGCGACGGCGGACGCCCAAGGCTGCTTTGGGGGTGGGCGCCGCCTGTGGAGCCATGTACAATGTGCTTCGGGACCCGTACCTGGACGTGAGGGCTGGCGTCTCCGGGGGCGCCAAGTGGCCCATCTTTGACCAGTGAGCGGCACAATGGGAATTTTGGCGCCAAACGGGCTTCGCACCGCCGCGCCCACCGCTGCAAATGCGCACGCGCAGCTCCAGTGCGAAACTTGGCTTTCGACATAAAAAGGACGCGTCATGCTAGGGGCTGTGATCTTGCCCCCACGTTGAAGTTGTGGATCCCATTCATGGTTGATAAAAGGGAGGCAGGCGGAATGGTGTAGCACCCAGAGCGCCTTGTGTGGACGTCAAGGTGCGGCGCTTTCTGGTCCAATTTCGACCAGAGCCGGAACCGCGGATCTTAGGAGGGCATTGGAAGCTGGCGGAGTCAGCACTTGCAGGTGACTGCAGTGTGCAGCTGCCATGCCTTACCGGCGTTGTTGGTAATTGGATGTTCAAAACCCCCGCTGCTGCCGCTCAGGATTTTTATGCTGAAACCCGTTGTGGGAACGTGCAATGCAGCAAGCAGAAAGTCTCTGCAACTGTGAATCGAACTGCAGCCAGCCAGAATCTGGCTGCAGAGATGGCCTGGGCTGCATGGCACGAAGTGGAGAGGCCCAGAAACATCGACCTTCTGTCCCCCGTAGAGCTGGGGTGTACAAGGAGATTCACAAGGACTGCACTCCCAACTGAGTAAGAGCTGTGGGGATTAACTTTCTAAAAGCTTGGTAGTGCGAGCTGATTGCAATTCAATGCAGATCCATATCATGCATTCTGGGTGCCTGGGTATGATTTATCAGCGATCGCGAGTGTTACCACAGGAGTGCAAGCCAGATGGGCGTCTTCATTGAGAGCAGCCTTTGAGCCATCGAACAGTGTGGCCGAGTATTTTGCCCATGGATGCCTTTTGTCCTTTTCACAGTTCCCATGGCATTGGGTTATTCAAACGCAAACCGCCTGTGCCCTTCTTGCCATTTCCGCATTGTCCATCAACAGATTCATCCCGATTCCGACTACACCATGCTTCACCATCGCTTTTGAAAGAACAACTGTGAATGCAGTGGGCCCAACATACACGTCAGAGTCATGGTGTCATTGGACTGTATGTTGTGCCTATTACCACCACCTAGAGGCGAAGGCTGTAATTTGCACTGCATTTCACGAATTTAATGCCTGGAATTATCACCTTGTAATTCCACAGTGCCCAAGATTGTATGCTCTGTTCTGCAGTTATGAGGATATGCACGTTTATGATGGCATTGCGGAAACTGTTCGCCTGTGTGGCGATCAGGAGATGTCCATTCCATTGGATGTGGTGCAGCCTCTGCTTGGTGAATCTGCAGTGCACATGTGGAAGATGGCATCAGAAGCTCGTTCGCTGTTTGTGGGCAACCAGCTGCAGACATGGTGGCAAGATGGCAGGCTTCTTGCACTGCACTCAACAGGACCCATCGGTGAGAGCACACCCTCCAGGGAACTGCATTAGGGACGCTGCCATCAGCTTTCAGCACACTAAGCTGCAGCATTGGCTCTGGAGTATGGGATGGAGGGTGCAATCGCTGAGACCAGAATTGTGCTAGCCATTGCTTTGTTGCCATGCACACTGAATGTAAAAGGAGAGAGGGATGCATTGCTCGTGTGAATGAGACCAAGGAACACAAGAATTGGCCCAAAAACAACAAAGATTGTCTGCAAGCAGTGGATGCCCACAATATGGGCTCGGCCTACAAACTGCATCCAATGCATGCTTGCAACATCCTGCACACTACAAAAGATGATTCCATGAAAATTTCTGCACAGGAAGGGTGCCCATGCAATGACATCTTGCTTTTCTGTTGAGGAAGTATTGTATGGATAATTAATGCGCATTTATGTCAGTCATCACATGTCAAGCACTGGTCTTGCACCTTCGATTCAGAACCAGGCATTGCTGCAGGCGCTCTGATGCTCGCCACTACTTGCCTGAGTGGCAAACATGTGCAGTATCTGCCACGGCGATGTCGACATCCGTTGTTTATATTTCAAAAGGCACAGCGAGTCCTTGCAATTTGCACTCTTTCTGCCACAACATCTGGATCTTGCAGTGGCTTAATGCCCATAGCTGCATTTGCTGCTGTCAGTTGTTTCATCGCTGATGCTATCATGGCAGTGGGCTGCAGAGCACACAAGCAGCCTTTGTCGTTTTGTATCATCTTGGTTTGTGCCATGCTGCTGGTGTTGTTATGATGGGCTCTGAATTGTCTGACAGGTGAGGATGTTGGTCTATCATACATCGCCGCAGAAATTGAAGAAGGAGAACCGAATTGGAGACAGGTGATAGACCGTTGATTCTGCAGAAAACACCAGTTGTGTGCGCACCCTCACGTGGATCATATTGCACTGGCCAGTGCTGTGCTGATACCTTGCCTGTCATGCTGTTATTCATCAAGCTCTGTGTACTCTCTTGCAGCCCAGCTACCAGAGAATTTGGCAGTACAACACTCTACTTGTGTGCCTTAGGAGCGACTATTTGTTGTCAGCTCACTCCCATCTGGCGCACCCTGATTAGTTTCTGCAAGGCACAAGGGCCTCTGTGCAGCAGCTGTCAAGTTGCTTCTGTGCAGAAGTCAGAATGGCCATGAACAACAAATCCCCTGCACCTTGTAGGCATCGACAAGGTCGTAGAACTACAAACATTGTGTGTTGACTATAACATGGTCACCATTCCACTCACAGCTTTTGTGATAGTTGGGCTGCAAGGTATTGATCTTGAGTACCCCTGCAAGACAACTCCTGTGTGGTTGTCAGGAGTGTGGCAGTCAAGAGGCTGTTTGGCTAATGTTACATGCAACTGTGAGTAGGGCATCTCCCTTGAGTCCTGCTTAATGGGCTGCCAAGGGATCAAGGTGTGAAGGTGTTTGTTTTAGGATCTGCTCCTTTGTTCACCTGCTCACTGCCTCAAACACAGCACCAGAAAGCACACACAGCAACTTCAGCGTCTGTGTGCTGCTTGTTGTCCTGCCGTACTCCACCTTCAATGGCAATTGTGCATTCTCCTCCACAAGTCGGCAAATGAATGGCCAAACCTTCATCAGCCCCAGGGGGAGGGTGCGTGGACTTCTCCATGTGACTTGCTATGTTCGTGATAACAATTGTGTGTGCAATAATGCAGATTAAATGCAAGCAGTTATGTTCCACCAGTTGGAAGAGGGGAAGCATCTTGCAGCTGGTTGTGGGACATGCACAGGAGGGGGGCATTCCTGGACTCCAAGGGGCAAGATTTGCAATTGCCCGCCGAATGGATTCTGTGGCAATGCTTTCCATCTCACCATTGGGAGATTCAAGGTGACAGGGAGTCTGTGTTGCTAATGGACTTGAGAAGAATTGAAAGGAAGGGATCTTCCATCAGAAGAATAGTCACCTGACAGGGACTAGATTGTCGATTTGGGCATCTGGACAGGCTACAGGACTTTGAACCATTGCTGGTGTAACAATGTAAGATTGGTGAAGCACCCAGCGAGCTTGAGCAGATTTTGCCATTGCTGCAGCAGTGGGCACACAGTCTGGGTCTCCCAACTTTTCTGTCTCAATGGTGTATGAAGCGCACTTTGTGTTCCCAAATAGTGGCATAGCTTCAAGGGTCTTGAATGCTCCGAAACTTGGGGCTCTCGACAACTTGATCCATCCTGTGCTGTGCAGAGATCACTGGAGTGTGATGCCAGCTGGTGAAGTCTGGATCAACGCCTCGCCCACCGATGTGTGCATTAACCCTCATCTTTTCCCTGAGGCAGCAGTCGGCTGCAAGGATGGATCAGTGCACACAATAGACATCGAAACGTGCCAGCTGCTGCAAGATTGCCCCAAGCCACCAGAAGCTGTTCAGGTTTATTGCTCACCCCCGCAACAACAGGCCAAGGCCGCTGGGATACGGACGTTGTGTGAATATGGTGAGCAACACGGATTTTTCAACCGACTTCTGTTTGAAGCTAATGTTGATGTGCCCGAGTTGAATTGAACAAACAACCTTGAACCAAAGGTCGTGGGCTGCTTGTGGTCACTGCTTGCTCATGGGCACGTTTTGTATTCCATCCGCTTTGGATATCAGCCCAGTTCAGTGTCAAGCACCCTTGCTGTGCGAAATCCTCACAAGCTTGTGAGCCAAGTGAATTTGCACCATGCAGGCATGGATGCTCGCCAGGTCATTTGTGCATGTGGAATTGATCTTCTGAACATCGATCTGCGTGCGCCGCAAGGCCATTCCGTTCCCATCTTTTCCTTGCCCACTGATCAAGATGTCAAAGAAGTGTTTGTGGCCATGACTACAGGGGCAGCGAGCCCAAGAAGTCAGGTCCGTTGCCTGCAATGCCTTCCACAATGCATCACTTGCGTTCCTGCTCATCAATTTGCCTTCCTGTCAGGCATCCACATTCA